AGGGGGAGTGGGAGAGGGAGAAACAGGCTTTCCACTGAGCAGGGAGCCCATTGCGGGACTCAATCCCAGGACCCTGGGATCATGACCTGAGCTGAAGGCAGACACTTACTGACTGAGCCACCCAGGCACCCCTCATTGTGGTTTTGATTTGTATTTCCCTGATGACGAGTGATGTGGAGCATTTTTTCATGTGTCTGTTGGCTATTTGTATGTCTTCTTTGGAGAAATGCCTGTTCATGTCTTCTGTCCATTTCTTGATTGGATTATTTGTTCTTTGGGTGTTGAGTTTGATAAATTCTTTATAGATTTTGGATACTAGCCCTTTATCTGATAAGACATTTGCAAATATCTTCCTCCCATTCTATAGGTTGTCTTTTAGTTTTGTTGACTGTTTCCTTTGCTGTGCAAAAGATTTTTATCTTGATGAAGCCCCAATAGTTCATTTTTGCCCTTGCTTCCCTTGCCTTTGGAGACGTGTCTAGCAAGAAGTTGATGTGGCTGAGGTCAAAGAGGTTGCTGCTTGTGTTCTCCTCTAGGATTTTGATGGATCTCTATCTCACATTTAGGTCTTTCATCCATTTTGAGCTTATTATTGTGTGTGGTGTAAGAAAATGGTCCAGTTTCATTCTTCTGCGTGTGGCTGTCCAATTTTCCTGACACCATTTGTTGAAAAGACTGCCTTTTTTCCATTGGCTATTCTTTCCTATTTTGTCTAAGATTAGTTGACCACAGAGTTGAGTGTCCATTTCTGGGTTCTCTATTCTGTTCCTTTGATGTATGTGGAAACAGACAATTCCTTGAGAGAGATGAACTACCAACACTCAGTCAAGGAAAAATATTCAGCAGCTCTATCTCTTTAAATAATGTAATAACATATAAAAATGATGATACATCATAACCAGGTGGGATTTATTCCAAGGACACAAGGTTAATTCAACCCTTGAATATCAGTTAATATAATCTCCCATAAGAACATATTAACTTTAAAAAAGCTTCTCAATGGGTGAAGAAAAGACATTTGGCAAAACCCAAAACTCTTCCTGATAAAACAAACTCTCAGCAAACTAGAAATAGAAGGTATCAACCTTAAAAATAAAATAACCACTTCTTTTACTAGCAAAATGAGTTTATCCAGGAATAGCAGAGGAATTGCAATTTGGAGTGAGGCAAATTATGGTGAGCCAAGGCAGGTCCAAAGAGATAAAGGGAAGGTCAGCTTTTATTTGGTTTCAGGAGGAAGTTGGGGAGGGTTGTTTTAAACAGTTTATTGGAGAAAACAAGAGTTCGAGGTTGTGGCATTTCCTCAATGGTGGTAAGTGGTGGTTAGTTAGTGTGTTGTTGCTAGGACAGGGAGGGATCTTCCTTCCTTTCTTTAAGAGTAGATTAAATTCCTATGGGAAAAATGTCCTCCTTCATCAAGATAATTCTTATCTTCCCTCTTCCTGCTGGTGATGCAGGCTGCAAGGAGTGGGACATGAATGACAGTGCTTCTTTGGGGCTTCCTGACTCCATTTTCAAGAGGTTTCCTCTATTTTCACAAAGGAAACATCCTCTTACTGATAAGAACAGCTACAAAAACAATCTACCACCAACATTATTCTTAAAGGACTGAATGCGCTCCCTCTACGATTGTGATGAACAAGGATATATGCTCTCAGTCCTCCTATTCAGTATTGAAATAAAGGCTCTAGCCAAAGCAATTAGATACAGATTGAAGTAAAAGGCATCCAGACTGGAAAAAAAAAGAATAATCTTTTTATTTACAGATAACGTGATTGTATATGTAGAAAATCCTCAGGTATCTATAAAAAATGTTACCAGAACAAATAAGTGATTTTAGCAAAGTTAAGATCAGTATACAAAAATCTCTTTTAGGGGCGCCTGGGTGGCTCAGTCGTTAAGCGTCTGCCTTCGGCTCAGGTCATGATCCCAGGGTCCTGGGATGGAGCCCTGCTTCGGGCTCCCTGCTCATTGGGAAGCCTACTTCTCCCTCTCCCACTCCCCCTGCTTGTGTTCCCTCTCTGGCTGTGTCTCTCTCTGTCAAAATAAATAAAAAATAAAAAATAAAAAAAAAATCTTTAAAAAAACCCCAAAATCTCTTTTATTTCAATATATTAGCATTTAACAAGCAGAAATTGAAATAAAGATACCATTAACAATAACATGAAATTATGAGAAATAAGTCTGACAAGAGATAGGCAAGATATGTAAACCAAAAACTACAAAACACAGCTGAAAGAAACAAAAGCAGTTCTAAATAAATGAGAAGATATACCATGTTCATGGACTGAAGTACTCAATATCATCAAGATATAAATTCTTTCAAACTGATCTATAGATTCAGTGGAATCCCAAACAAAATGCACCAGGCTTTTTTGCTGGAGGTTGGCAAGCTGGATCTAAAATTCACGAGGAAGTGCAAAGGATCTAGGATAACCAAAAAGAACTTTATGAAAACAAAAGTGGAAGATCACACTACCTGATTCAAGAATCATTATAAAGCTACAGCAATGAAGACAGCTTGGAAAATTGGCATAAAAATAGGCAAAGAGAGGGGTGCCTGGGTGGCTCAGTTGATTGAGCACCTGACTCTTGATTTCTGCTCAGGTCATGATCTCAGGGTGGGGAGAGGGAGCCCTTGGTCCAGCTCTGCGCTCAGTGGGGAGTCTCCTTGGGATTCTCTCTCTCCCGCTCTCTCTGCTCCCTCCCCCCACTCTCTAGTTAAATAAGTAAATAAAATCTTCTAAACAATCTGCAAATAGACGAATGAAACACAGAGTACAGAAATAGGTTCACACACGTATAAAGGACTACTGATTTTCAACAGAGGTACAAAGGCAACTCAGCAGAGGAAGGATCATTATTTCAACAAACAGCCCCGGAAACTGGATAGCCATAGGCAGAAAAAACAAACCTGAATTATATCTCACACCATATACCAAAACTAACCCAAAATGGATAATAAATGAAAAATATACAAAGCATGGAACATTCATATAATGCATTACTACTCCGCAGTAAAAGGAATAACTATCGATTATCGCATCAACATGAGTAAACTCGAAATAATTACGCCGACTGAAATGAGCTAGGCAACAAGGGACACGACCACGACTCCGTTTATATGAATTACAGGAAACGCAAGCTGATGTACAATGACCCAGCAGACCGGTACTTGCCTGGTGAGGGGGCCGGAGGGAAAGGGGAAACTCTGGGCTATTTACTTTGTTGATTGTGGTGACGGCTTTACGGGTGTATACAGATGTCAAACACAGCAAATGTAAATATGAGGTTTTGTGTGTCACTACACCACAATAAGGCTGTTTTCATAAAACCCTAAAGATGGCTCCAATCCAGCTTAAATGCTAGACCCCACCCCCACATCATCTACTCAGAACACGGGAGGGTAGGGGCTGGGGCCATGGTCTGGGGCAGGACCCAGCCTGGCGGAGAACACCTTAACCAGCTTGGGTGGGCCGGACTGAGCCGCGGGGAAGGCACTGCTCCCAGCCGGGGCGTAAGCCGCACAAGCAGGGGTGGGGTCTGCGGCCCTACGGCCCGCCCCCAGCCACGCCCACAGACCCTGAGATTTCCACCCCTCCCCGCGCCCCACCCTCCGTCTAAGAGTGACGCCCCGCTCCCGTCCCACAGACCCCACACTCCACCCAAGCCCGGCCATACCCTCCGCCCCAGGCCGGGCCCCGGGTCCTCAAGCCCCGCTTCGTCCTGGTCACGCCCCATCCGAGACTCCGCCCAAGCCCCACCCCTCCACCACCTCAGGCCCGCCCCGTCTTCCTCGCAGCTCCGCCTCAAGCCCCGCCCCGCCCCTCCGCCGCCTCAGGCCCCGCCTCCAGGCCCCGTCTGTTCTTGCCTCACAGCTCCGCCCCAAGCCCCGCCCCTCCCGCAGGCCCCACCCCATCTCGCCCTTAAGGCTCCGCCCCAGGCCCCGCCCCCGCCCTAGGCCCCGCCCCGCGGAGCCGAAGGCCGAGCCGCGTGTGTCCCGAGCGGCTGCAGAGGTGGGCGCAGGCCCGGGGTCGCAGCCGCGCCGGGGTGTGGCTCCGGGTCGGGCTCCGAGCAGCCGGGAGCCTCGCGCAGAGCGGCCTCCGGACGCTGCCGTGCAGGTAAAGCCCCGCCCCGCCCCGCCCGTCCGCCGCCCGGGGTCGCGGGGTCCCGGGATCCCGGGGTCTGGGGTCCCAGCCCCGCCCGCCAGGCCCCGCGCGCGGCCCCGCCACTCCACGCCCCAGCGCGGCCGCGCGCCCAGGGCTTGGCTTTTCTCCCTTCTCGCTTTCCTTCTCTCTCCACCACAACTGAAAGGCAAGGCGCCGCCCCCGGGGCCGCGTGCTCGTCCCCGCTGGGCTGACAAAGAAGGGCTCTCTCCGTGCTTACAGTTCTGTGAGGGGTGTCAGGATGAGCAAAGTGCTAAGCTCCGACAGCCGCCACCCCGGCCACAGCCGCCACCCCGGCGGCCACGAGCGCGCACCGCTCGGTTGCCAGTCGTTTGCCCATCCCTCTGCCCTGCATTCTTCTTTCTTAGGAAACCCCTGCAGCCCTGTCTTCCTGGTTTCCAGCCTCGGGAGCTCGGAGGGGTGGCCCCTCCTCCGGCGGGCCAGCCCCTGCTCCCGTAGGTGTGCCATGGGTGTGTCCAGGGTTCCGGGACCAGCCAGCGGTCAGCGCGACCTGCCCTTGCTCTTCTGGGTGGCTTTGGGAATCTTGGAGAGAAGTTACAGAGACCCCCGCTGGCCAGATGCTTCAGTGTGCCGGTGACATCTCCCGCAGAGTCCGAGTGTTCCCCTGGGCTCCCTGCGGCACCGCGATGCTGATTGCCGCTCTCTTTTAGGACTAGAGGAGAACACCGCTTTTCCTTGCGTGGAAGGAGGGAGCGTTGACGCCTGTGTCAGATGGTCACTTGCACAGCGGCGGCTGGGGGAGTGAGGAAGAACGCAGGTCTGCAGCACCCAGTGGGAGGAGACCGCCGTCCACCCGTCCCCAGGTGTGGTCAGCATGGGCCCCGTGGGCAAACAGAGCCCCTCATCCCTGCCGGTCCCCGCGGGGGGGTCCTGCCTCATCCTCCTCTTTTGCTTGCGCTTGGGTGCTTCCTGCCCACAGAGCTGCCAGTGCCCTGAGCACGCTGGGGCCGTGGCCGTCCACTGCAGCGCCAGGGGCCTGCAGGAGATCCCCAAGGACATCCCCGCCAACGCTGTGCTCCTGAAGCTTGATGCCAACAAGCTCACCCACATCCCTAACGGAGCCTTCCAGCACCTGAACCAGCTGAGGGAGCTGGACTTGTCCCAGAACACCATTGAAACCATCGGCCCCGCTGCCTTTTCGGGCCTGGCTGGGGGCCTGCGGCTGCTGGACCTGTCGCATAACCGCATCCGCAGGATTCCGAAGGACGCCCTGGGCAAGCTCAGCGCCAAGATCCGCCTGTCCCACAACCCCCTGCACTGCGAGTGTGCGCTGCAGGAGGCCCTGTGGGAGCTGAAGCTGGACCCCGAGTCTGTGGACGAGATCGCCTGCCACACGGCCGCGCAGGAGGAGTTCGTGGGCAAGCCGCTGATCCAGGCTCTGGACTCCGGGGTCAGCTTCTGCAGCACCCACCGCAAGACCACCGACGTGGCCATGCTGGTCACCATGTTCGGCTGGTTCGCCATGGTGATCACCTACGTCGTGTACTACGTGCGCCAGAACCAGGAGGATGCCAGGAGGCACCTGGAGTACCTGAAGTCCCTGCCCAGCGCCCCCGTGTCCAAGGACCCCATCAGCCCAGTGCCCTAGTGCCTGCTGGCAGAAGCAGAACACCGCCCACCTGTCCCCCTCACTTCCGTAGCAGGTGGTGGCTGACCCAAGCTTTCGGTGCCACGAGCACTGGGTCCTCCCAGCCCCCTCTGAGCGGCATTCTGCCCCCACAGACCCCTCCCTTGTGTTGCAAGTCACTGCGCCACGCTTCAAGTCCGAAATGTGACCATCAGGCCCACTTGACGGGCCAGGAAGCCAGAGTTTGGAGAAATGGCATTGCCCACGACCACACAGTCAGGCAGTGACCCCTTTGGGACTTAAAACCAGGCCGTCTGTCATAACGTTCCATGTCCCTTGCGCTTGGCCGGCCTCGGCCGCGTGGCGCCTGTAGGGTGTGAATGGCATTCCAAGAAGAAAGGCTCTTGTCCATGCGTGGGAGGTCTGCCCCGCAGACGGTGGGGTGTAGACTCATCTGTGGAAGGCAGAACCGATTTACCTTGTCCCCCTGGTAGTATTTCCTGAACCCATCTGACTGCAGAACTCTTTCCAGAGCAAAGTAGTAGAGACCAGGTTTTTCTCGAGAGGTAAGTGAAACAGGTAGTTGTTCAAACTAACCTTTGAACAACTTTGTTTATTCTGAGTGTTGGTTAAGAGTAGCAGTTGTGCCAAAATTTCAGTCCGGGGAGAGTGGGGGAGAAACCCTAAAACCCCCAAACCAAGAAAACCACGGACAGAAACCCAAGAAAGGTCCAGAGTGGATCATCAAGGGGGGCAGTGTCGTGTGTCCCTGCCGCGAGTCCCACCAGTGTCTGTGCCTGGTCTGGGGGAAGGCCCGTCATCCTGGGTCTGTAGTGTGCCTTGCCTCTCTACTCACGAACACCGAAGCCGCTCCTTCTCAAGGACAGGAGGACTGATGTTCGGTGTGTCAAGGCCGGTCAGCGGGATGCTACCTTTTCTCCAGCAACAGGAACCCTCTGCCTTGCTCCCTCTCTGTCTCCCCGTCTCTGTCTGACTTCACCTCTGCCCCCAGGAATCTCAGAGCTAACTCAGCATTCTCTCAGCTGTGTTACTCTACATTCAGGGTAGACGTTACCTCCACCTAACTGTGAGCCGTCTTTCTAGTTTTATTTTTTGATGTCTTTTTTAAGAGTGCTTATTTTTAAATTGCTTCAAATATTTTGGGGGGGGAGCACAAATAGGGATAAATTGCTTATGAACTTAAGGTGTACAGATTACAAGCCTCGTGAAGCAGATGCTTAGAAAGAATTAAAATAGAGGGTGGTTTGTACCGGGGGATTGTCCTATGACCTCAGGTGGGCCTTGAACACCTGATCCCATCTACGGGTTGACTCAGAGATCCAGACTCCACAGCTGACGCCCAAAAGGCCCATCCAAGCAAGGTCCTGATTTTTTCAGTTATGGTGCATTAAAAAGAAATGACTGACAGCTCCCAAATACCCTCCCACACACAAGCACCCCACTTCTGTGCACACCGCCCAGACCAGGGGTGCGGGGATGGGAGGCCGGGCCTGGGCACCACCTCCCATGGCCTGTCAGTCCCAGTGACCCGGGTGGGCACTGCTGCTGGCCTACCAGCAGGGCACAGGCTCCTTGGGTGGTTTGGGTCCCCCTGCCCACCCATGCTAGGGCGCACACAGTGGGGAGAGGGGTCCCACCACACAAGGAGCTCACCACCTGTGGGTTTGCCCGAGGGAGGTGACCTGACAGAGATGCGGAGTCATGTGCCAGGGTCCTGTGGCTGCTACTCATGTCCTGGGGAGAGCCTCTCCTTGCTGTGGGGGAAGGCTTGCACTGGGGGGCCCTGTCCCACTGCCAGGGAACTCGCCATTTCCTCTTATGCCAGAATCAGCCCAGATCCTGGGTTCCACCCAAATGCGGCTCTTCGGGGGATGCATGGGGAGTGGGGTGGGGCTGCCCCTTTCCGAGGACCCTGGACACACCAGAAGGGTCCTCTCCCCGTCACCCTGAGCCGAGCGTCGGGCTGCCAGGCCCTCCTGGTCTTTCTGGGACCCTCACCCTTCAGGGGGCATTCCAGAGTGGACACCTTCCTCCAAAGAAGCCCACCAAATCCCTAAACTTCAGGACCACAAAGCTTCCTGCTCACGGGAGTTCACGCCCCTGGTATCCGGGAGCACTCTGTCCCGGGGTACAGCCATCCTCCTCCTTTCCCCCTCCTTTTCTCTCTCCTTGAGAGACCCCTTAGGATGACGCCCTGCCTGGGCCCACCCCCTTCCTTGCTGCCGTGTGTGAGCACATACCACTGGATGCCCCCGCAGGCCCTACAGCTGACGCAGCCCCCACCTCTGCCCCGATGGGTGGTTGACCACATCCTAAATCTGCAGAGGCTGGGCAGGGTCACGCTGGCCTCGTTGAGAGAATCGGTGTTGACAGTGTCAGGTACAGGACAAAGGGGTTGCCCCGTCTGTCGGGGGCAATGGGGTCACAGCCTATGGGACATGGGTTGCCCCCGGCTCTCACTGTGATCCGAATAGGGACCTTCAGAGCACTTTATACAGACACATGGCCTGGTCTGCAAAGCTCCTTGGCCACAGGAGGTAACACTTCACAGGTCAGGGGTCAGGGCAGGGTGATTTGGGGGCTCCCCATGGGACAGAGGGTTGGAACAGCCACCCAGCTTGGGGTGGGGATGGCTCCTCCCTTCCCCTGGGGGTGGGTGGTGGGGCTCTGGCTTCTAGGGAGGCCACAGGGCCAGGGGGGTGAAGAGGGCCAGAGAGGGGCTCATGGAATCCTTTGGGAGCCAGGTCACCCTGCCCAGCTGCTCTGGTTGAGCTGCTCCCTTGGTCCCCAGCCTCGCCGTGGATAGAGCCCCACCCCTGACCCTGACCGTAGGAGGGGGCGCCCTACGCCCGTGGCCTCCTGGTACCCCAGCCTCCCTCCTCTTCGGGCTTTGGGGTCACTTTCTCGGGTGGCCCAGGGTGGGATGGGCCGTGCTGACACTCGGGGGCTCTCCCTGGTGAGGAAGAGGATCCCAGCTCCGCTCCAGAAGCCCTTCCCAGACCTCTCCCAGGAGCTGCCTGCAGGCTGTGGGAGGCAGGACAGGCACCACCGGGACTTCTGCGGGGCTGGGACTGGGGGTGCTTGCAGCTGCGGATGCACGAAAGAGCTTCCCTCCTGCACGCGGCCCTATAGCCCAGGCCCCGGGGACCTCCTCGCACTGCAGGGCCCCCAGTTCCCAGCTTGGCCTGCAGGGGGTGGATGAGTTTTAAACTAGACATGAGATTGGGTAAACCCAGTCTGGATGTATGTTTCCTAATGGACAGTAGTCGTGGGCAGGAGATGGGGGTGTCCGGCGGTTAAAAGCAGGGGCTGCACAGCATGGTGCTACAGGGGCCGCCTGGGGGGGCTTGCATTCCCTCGGAGGTCTAAGGAATGTGTGCGGGTGGACTCCCCGCTGCGGGGGGCTGGAGTGGGGCCAGGCTCAATTGAACAGCTCCGCCCAGGGTCAGCAGAACGCAGGGGCATCGGCAAAGTCAAGGCCAGGGCTCGAGGACCAGTCTCCTAGGGGTTCTGAGCAGCGCAGTACAGCCTGGCCCTGGGTGCTGGGGGCCCCTCGGTGGGTGCCGTGCACCGGCCCGGCCCTGGCTGGCTTGCCCTCCTGCACCACGCTCCCCAGGCTCCCTTGCAGCGCGTTCTCCAGAGATGCATGTACATGAGACTTTGATCCTGGACTCAGTTACCTGGGGAGGAGGCAGGGCTGCTTGGGCAGACCGTGGCAGAGATGGAATGTTCTGGGGTTGTGGCAAGTGCAGGAGCCTGGGTTGGTTTCTGGAGCCGTCTTTCCCGGAAGCTGGGTCTAAAGTCTGAGCCTACTGTCCTCCCCACTGCCTCTGAACTCTCAATAAACCTCGTTGTGCTTAAATCATCTGGAGTGGATTCTGTTATCCGCACCCCTGTGACCCACCCGACAGACCCAGCGCCCCCGCCCTGCCCTCTTCACTGTAGACCTCCTCACGAAGCTGACCTGCCAGACCTGTCGGACCTGCGAGTCCACGGCGTGGAAGAGCTGGGTCAGCACAGGGCTGCCGTGGGTGCTGGGGCCAGCTCGTACCGGCTCGAACCAGCTCTTGGTGGCCAATAGTTAAATCTGGGGGAGGTGGTGAGCCGGTTGACATCATGATGGCAGCTTGAGGTTGGCCACGGGCAGTCTTTACACCAGGCAATTGACAGCCAGGCCCCGCCCTCCTGCCCCAGGAGACTGTGAGCCAGGTGGCCATAAATGGGTGTCCCCAACAGCCTGTCCCAGCCCAGGCCCCCGCCTGGCCCCTGTCCACCTTCTGCTCCTGGCTGCCCTGGCCAGGTCACGTGTGTTCTGGGGCCTACCCCCTGCTTCCCACGCCCTCCCTGCCCCTTAGCTCCTGGAGGGGGAGGGGCGTCTCTCTGCCACCTGCAGGGACTCCCCCCTGCCTTCACGGTGTCACCCAGCCCTGCCATTCCAAAAAAGAGATCACCTGGTGCAAGAACCAGCCCCTCTCTCCACCGGTCAGTGGGGCTCTCTCTGTGTGAACGGTGAATTTTTTTTTACACAGGAACTCCTTTTTCTGCAGTTTTACCTTTTCTAGAAGTTTCATGAAAGTGGAATCTTTTGAACACAAAACTATTATCGCACCGAAAAATTACAGTGGCTCCCCCCAATGCCACTCAGCGGCCACGTTTCCCTGATCGTCTCTAAACCATTTTGGGGATTGTTCGAGTCAGGGTCTCCATAAAGGTCAGACCGCACACCTGGCTGGCATGTCCGCGCTGTGGCTCTTGTAACGTAGACGCTCTCATCCATCTGCCTTTGGCTTCCGTGGTTGTCCTGTGAACCTCCTCTCGTCTGGATTTTGCTGTGTGTCCTGTGGTGGTGTTAAGCTTGTCCTCTGTCCCCGGTTTCCTGGAGCCAGTAGTTCTGTTTGATTTTTCTAGCAAGGCCACATCCTGGGTGGTGGTGTGCCCTTCCAAAGAGGGCGTGATGTTAGCAGCCACCCATTATCAACACTGAGGTCTGCTGACTCCCTGGGGCC